GATATATCAAATTTACAATTACCCAAAGATGCATGGAATATCGAAGTAAAATAATTCTACGTCTTAAATTGCATACGATTTCTTATTTACCGTTTTAAAAATATCGACCTTATGGCAGAAAGTCTTCGAATTACTATTTTCTTAACGAAAATATCGCCCAGTGCAAAGGGTTAAGTATTCCTTCGAAAATGACTAGGAAAACGATTCGTAGGTATTTAGTCATTTATGATTGGTAAAATTATAAAGGCTTATAGTCGATATTAAGTTCAGGACGACACGTGAAATATCGAAATAATGTAGTTTTATGGGTTTAATGATACGATTTAGCATTTCCTTTTCGCGTTATTATAGAAAGTGTTATCGTTTTTGAGAAGAAGAGATTCGAGATGGTACTTTATCGTAGCGAAGACAATCTTGGAGTACAAAGGGTTAATAGAGGGATGTTGGAGAATTTAATTTAGGATTGCGAGGTTGTTTGAAGCGAGATTGGGGTTTTTAGTGGACACAGGGCGGCTTAGATGGCGACACTGTTCTGTCCTTATGGAGAGAGTCATTGATGTCCTATTGATTTTTAGATTTAGGTCAATAATTAAATTGTTAAAAGATCGTTGTCCATATTAGAACTATCAAATTAATCAAAATACCTAGTTTTGGAATTTTTATTTATCGAAGACACGCATTTGCTTTTGACAAAATTAATTTTTATCTTTAATGAGATAAAAACGTAATTAAATGTATATTTACTTACATTGTATTTTCCTGTATACTACTCTAATTAGCGCTATCTATGCATGTCATGTTTAGATACCTTTCGCAGGATAATAGCTGTAGCGTTGCAGAGAAAGTGACGAATTTTATAAAATAAATAATACTTATTTATTTTATTTATTTTATTCTATTTATTCTATTCTGCAGGGTAGGGATGTAGGTGAAATGATATGATTAAAGGCGAGTATTGGTAGCTGTATTAAAAGAAAAGCAAACGAAGTTAAGAAACTGTTAAAACAAACAAGTTAATTATACCTTTCGCGAATAAAGTTATTCGAGCATGAAATTTTGTAATAAAATGCTTTGATAAGCAAAACTGCTTCAGGGACTTTGCTAAACGACTCGTGGATCGAGAACGACGCTTAACGATTTTAAGAACATTAACAATATTAAATTTCATTAATTAGTATGCACATTACGAAGATCGAGGTTGATTTCATTACGCTATTTTATAATTACGTGTCCTTGCAGAATTCGTAATTAATATATATTAGTAGATAATGTTTTTAGCCAAATTAATTGATACCGTTCGTAGGAAAGTCGTTAATGTACATTAATTTTACTAATCTAGTTAGCACGCGGGGGAATATAATTGTTTTTCAAGGATAATTTGTTTGCTTAATTAAAATTTAATTTACATTTGCCAGGTATCGAAAACCGAACGATTCTCGCCTGTAAAGATATTATAAATACCGCGTTAATAATGCTGTCACGCAGTTTCGTTAATTTACCGAATGTCTGAAAATTCAACGTACCATTTGCATTGAAATCGGTGCATGACATTTTACGAATTTATGCGTGATAATTATGAACTTTCGAATCTAAAATTAATCGCTATAAACTTCTTTAAATATCAATCGATATTACAGCGAAGAATAATTGACCGAGAATGGTCGGTAAATTTCCCTCACCTCAGTTGCATGAAAAATTTACGAAGAATTTTATCACGTCGAATATTTTTAGCAAAGTGTGACAGATCGAAGGGCAGTAACCGTTCAATCGTAAAATACTATCGACGTATGAAAAACAGAATTTTCCAGAATATTTCAAATGATGGAAATTTCATAAATTATTATATCCAAGTATCGATAAGTATAAGTAGTGAAAATGCTATGCGCATCATACGCGATTATTTTCAGAATATTTTTGCAAATCAAATTTATACTCATAGCAACCCCTGAAATATGCTTCTCCACCCTCCACTCACCCCACGAGATATAATAAATCAATTTATACGAATCATTACATTCTACGAATTTTATGGAAGTCGGTGTATATTCTCGGAACGTAGCAGGAACAATTGGCGACGGTATAATGGCAGAACTGGATTTCCTTTCTCAATTATTTCTCACAATCAGCCACAGACGCACGTATTTCCAATCGCGAACATTCGGTGTGACGCGACGATATTTCTTTAAATCACGTCAGCGAATCGCGTCACCCGGTGATACGCGGATTTCCTAATTACGATAGAAAACATCTGGATGCTAATTACTCGCGGAACGAATTATCATTCACGTCGGGAACGAAGACAGACGACGTTGGTGGCCGGTTTCGATTGGAGCGAGCGGAGCGGCGCCTTTTGTTCCGTGTCGCGTTGCAATTTCAAGAATTATTTCACGCAACATCGCTCCACCTCACGGCACGCCACGTCACGTCAAACAGCGCGGGACGTGTAAAAATGCTACATGACTTGACAAATATTGCGTACTTATCGTGCGTCACAAGGCACACGCGATACCTAACGCGGGCTTATATCTTTTCACGGGGTATATAATCGGAGTTAAAGTCAATGTCGCGAGAGCAATTGTGTCGCGGCTCGACGTTGCATTTACCGTTTCTCTTTTTTTCCCTTTTTGCTCCGGCTCTCCCTTTTTGTTCTCTTTTATTTAATACCCGCGAAAGGAATTTATCCCACCCGCGGGAGAAAAGTGCACCGGGGGAGAAAAAAAGGAAAGAGAAGAAAAATATATGCAAAATCGATAGGGTGACTCTAAACCGTTACTGAAAAATTGCACGGTAGGAAAATTGGATTATGGTCGCGGGATTATTTCGGTTTCCCCCGGCGAGGCTTTGGGTGTGTTTTTAATCACTGAATTGAATCGTAGATTTGTTACTTCTGGATGAAATTGTGAGATACCGTTGGGAGCGAACAATTTCGGGGAAAGCCCGATAAAGTATAATTAACGATCGGTCGTGCGTCGTTAGAAATACGCGGTATTAGGAACGTGGAAATGAACAATTGATTCGGTATTTTCAGATTTATTACACTTTTTGCCACTTATTCGGCCGAAAACATGGTCGCCCGATTGGTTCCAGCGTGGAACACCCGGCGTCGATATCGACGTTTCCGGTTCCTCCATATACCCGGATACGAAACAACCATAAATTTCCACGACCCCCGAAAACTTTTTAATAGACTGCTGTTTTATCGCGTCTTACGTCACACCATCTCACCGGAGATGCTCTTTGATACCCGATATCGACTGGACAATATTCCCGGCGAAACGATATCGGAATCTGCGCTCTCGATGCCATCCCCGGCCGCCATTGCGTCCTAAATCACCCAGGAAAATTACCCAGGTCCTCGAATGACAACAGGCAAAAGAGAAATTACGCTCTTCTTTACCGATAATATCCTCCTCGCCGAGGGAACGTGACCGACCAGCTCGATTCCTCTTTTGAACGTTTTAAACCGTTCCTCAAGGAACAATCGATCCCCCCTGGGAGTAGAGCAGCAGAGAGAGAGGGTAGAACGAAACTACCCTCTGACTCGACACTATCCACGATCTCGATTTCATATCTGCTAAAAAAAGAGTACCGATAATCCGTGGATTATATTAATAATCTGAACCGAGGCCTGACATTTTGGCATTGTTGACGTGGATATTGCGATCTAGGATTCAATATTTGACAGCCGAGACAGCTGACGTGGCTGGAGAAACGGAAGAGAATTCCAGGCTTGTTTAATCGTTAAGAAATCGGGCTGTAATATTCGTGATCTTTATCTCGGTGTAAGACCCTGGTAAGTTGACAATTAGGATGGCACAGGGGGCAGAGGAATACTTCGTTTGCTTCGTCTACCGCAGTACGATTAAATAGACTAACACTTTGACTGCCATGCACTTTATCTCTCTGCACTCGACGATTTCTTTGGCTAAAGAAGGGTACAAGTTGAAAAATTTTCTGCTATAAAACTGACGATATTTCTTTAACGGTAAATAAGAAATCGTATAACAATTAACACGTACAATTATTTTGTTACATTATTTTAATATATTTGATATATCAATTAATATCGAGCTTCGAAATTTTATCAAATGGCGACTGAAGGGCGCCTCTCGAGTGCAAAGGGTTAAATATGGGACTATCAGAGGGGCCACGATAAAATTTCCATTAATCTTAGGATATAATGATGACTTATCAAACAATAAAGCAAGAAAAAGAAATGGTGCAAATTATTAATGTCTCCTATTCAAACTTCTCTATTTATTTCCATTCTGCAAATATTCAAAAATTGGTTAGAATAAAACAAATATACATTTAAAAAATTAGAATCGTCTCTGGTGACACTGGTGACCATCATGACCCCATTGAGGAGGCAAGCACCGGTCACTGATGACCATCATATGGCAGTCAACGTGCTAACCCTTAGATAACACGTTTATCCTACGTGTTAGGACATCTTCCAATATATCAAAGAAGAATCGAACTTATTACATCATGTCCAATCAAGCTCGCGTGTCTACCACCAGTAAATTTACCAAACTCGCACACAGCAGATGTGTGTACGTTACACAGGTAATGAAACGAAACGGCACATCTGGTCGGCGAAGGACGCGAAGGGAAGAGGAAGGGAATGCGAATGAAAAATATGAAGAACAAAAGCGGCTGTACGAACGAACCGAACGATGTACAGCGATGAACTCTGGATGGAAAGAACGTCCATTAGGAGTCAAAAATCGAGCCCGTCGTAACCATCGTTCGCGCGACACGCGTTCGATCCATCGAATAGAGGAATAGGGAAACGAATGGGAGGTGAATGGGAGGCAGAGAGAGAGAGAGAGAGAGAGAGAGAGGGAGAGAGAGAAAAGGGAAAGGAGGGTAAAAAAGAAGAAAATGGCGGAACCGCGCCGGCAGAAAGGATAATTGGCCCTGCATTCTGTTCGGCATAAATCGGCATAAAGGATCGTAAATCAATGGCGGTTGGCCGTAAATAGCGGGATACTTACAATACACGACCATGGAGGCGCTCGCAGACCGCTCGTCCGCGAAAGTGGATATGACGCACGTGTACTCGCCGGTAAGATCGATACCGGGCTTATTCAATTTCATGGCTCGGTACTTGGTGTACGGATCGTCGCTGGCTTTGTACTTCAGGTCGACGTACTTCCGCGCGGTATCCCCGGCCAAAGGGTCCCTGCCGTATATCCATTGGTAAGCCACTTCGTTGGTGTTGAAGAACCATTTCACGACTAATCCCTTGTTCGACGTGTTCTCGAGATCGTAGTCGCAGTCCAGGATCACGTAATCGGTGTCGTCGGCCTTCACCGTCGGCGGTACGTTCACGCTTTTTATCACGAGCTGCCAGCATTCTGAAAAATCGTAAAAAGAACACCGATGAGAGAGAGAGAAAGAGAGAGGAGGGAGAAGAAAGGTGGAGCCGTGGGGATCGATTCGCGAGGAGGCAGGAGGAACCTCCTTTCCTTCGCACCCTGTCTATGTCCCGAAGTCACGGGGAGAATCGCGAACGACGGTCGACTTTGGTATACCGTAGGTTGAAAAACGTGGCGGGAATTGGTCCTTTCGCGACTGATTACAGGACCTAGGGGGTGAGCATGGTTTTCGATTCAAAGTTTGCCCGAGTCGCTCGGTTCAGAGATTGTAACGAGGTTGGGTTGTTTGGGTCTTACGAAAGAGGTTCTCCGAATCTCGATATTAAATACGACGAATTTTGGGGAATAAATCGATGGAAAATAGGGAAAAGTCGATTTTCCATGATTTTCTGACTTCGTATTGCTTTGTCTATTAAATATAAGCAGTTTAATACGGTATAGTTGAAAATTAAACGACCTATTAGAGCAAAATATGCAAATCGATAATGGTAATGTATTCAGCAAGTTTTCTAAGTTGATAAGCTTCTTAATAGGTAATTTAAATTTATTGTCCGATTCTATAAGAAGGTAGCGAGCGTTACTACTACCTAGTCATTACTTTCCCACTGATTTAAATACTTTGATAAAATTTATGTTCCACCGCTAAATCGATTACAGCGTTCAGATACTTATCTGCAATGGGAGTGAAGTTCACGTTATACCTAAAGTGGAGTTATAACATCTGGGAATGAAATATTCCGGGATATTCTTCTTCCTTCTTCTCTGTTTCCTTTCGTTCCTCTCTTTCATCCTTTCACAGAGGAATTTGCAAAAATTTTTTGAAAAAGATCGTAATTTTTAGTTATACGTAAAATTCCGTGGCTGACGTAGGAACGGAGCATTAGAAACTCATGGTTGCGGGCAACCCGAAAGTCATCCAATTGTTTCGAATTTTGGAGGATGGAATTCTAGATTCGTCACACCTTCTGCCCCGAACGTGCCGTTGATGCTTCAGCAATTATTGTACAAATGAATGCATGCATTGCGTTGGATAGGACACGTTGCATAACAAATGATGCGGAACGGAAATTACTGTTTAACTGCTACGGAGAACGTTATTGCGATATTGTTGCAACGAGATGGTTGCGTAATTATTCATCGTGGACCAGCGTTGCCTTGAGTACACTGCGACGAATTTCGTACAGGCTGATGCAATCCACTTTTCTATGCTAGTCGGGACGGAGTTTGAAAATGTTTTGAAATTCATGAGCGGTACACGGCTGGAAATCAAATCAGTTCCAGCGCATATGCTTTATTCGTTCATTGTTTTGCCCTGCCCTCTAAAAACCGCGCAGACGCGCTCGCGTGTTTCCGCGTAATCACTAATCCACGGTGCAATTTGCAAATTACGCGAACGTTGCGTTATCGTTCGATACATTCCCAGGGTAATTTAAAGAAAAGTATATTTATCGCGACGTTTATCGCGGAAATCTTCAATTCGATTCTTATTCCTTCACAGAGGAACACGACTTTCAGTCAATGCATAAATTTCTTCAATTCTCCATTTAACTCTTTGCGGCACAGGATTTCAGATAATAAAATAAATTCATGTTGCATAGAAATTTTATTGCGTTTTAAATGCAACAAAATTGGTATATTTTTACTAATAAAGGAATCGCATAATGTAAAAGCATAAAATTAGGAAAAGAGATTGTCGCGATAAACCTTTCGCTTGCAACAATTGGTGAATTGATAAATAAGACGAAATATAAACCTACGCGCGTGCAGCTATTGCAATATTTCGAGATGGAACTGAAAATGTCCCACCATGCATTACGGTGCACCAAAAGGGTGGGACACTTTTAATCCCAGCGTGCCTCAAAGAGTTAACCCTGTCACACCATGATTCGATATTTCTCAAACTCCATTTCCATGGAAAAGTTCATTTTTACCAGCTTGCATTATCAGGTGATGACTTGAGACTTCTTCAATTTGATATTGCAAATAACAAATTCAAACATTCAGACTATCACAGTTAATCGTGGATATTATATTTAAATGAATATATTAAATATTTATTGAACAATATTATAGCATAGGGTAAAAATTATTGATGAAATATATTTAATTGTGTTCACCATTTCTCACGATACTCATCACATCAATTCTGAATTGCAACTGACCTATCCAACTACTCTCTCATTTGTTCTCTTTTCTTTCATACGTTACATAAATATATACAGGCTATACCACACTTCATTCATTATATACATCATTTATTTTTACATCAATAGACGATATATATTAAAATCTATGACAACCCCTATGTCATATCTATGTCATCTATGTCCACTACACGAACATATCAATTTAATTTATTTTAGAAGTAGTTGTTAAAGGCATTCGTTCCCTATCTTGATTTCAAATTTATATGCAAAATGAGATAATAACGGGCATCGAAAAAATATCGAAAATATCGATATTCGTGTATCGTAGGAAGACATTAGATGATGCGAATGTATAAACCTAATTTTCAATCAACGTTGAACTTACCACGGCTTAAATGACAATTTTCAAACTTCCAATTTAAAATTCCTCCTAAAATGTTATCGTTTTGGTCATTTTCCTAAGTGACTTATCTTTCAGTATTCGTACAATCAAATTTTCAATAATTTTTCTTAGACCATTCTTTTTTAAGATCTTTCTTTCCTCTCTCATGCATCGGTCGTTTGACCGGAAGGGGTAGATTTTAGTCTCAAGACATCCGAAAAAACGAGAGACGGCGAAAAAAGAAGAAAGGAAAATCTACAGGGTTCTAAGAGGTTTCAGGACTCGGAGCACGTCCCAGTAAGTTCTCCAATCTTATCAAAGATGCAAACGAATGTTTCTGGGGGCCACGTGTCCGATGTTGCCGCAGCCAGCTTGAGACGCCACTTTGTGCGACCGCAATAATTACCCAGGGAACAAAAAGAAAAAAGAATGGCTGGTGATAATTATGAAATATCGTCTCGCGGAAGAAAGCTCTTCGCTCGCCAGGCCGACGGAAAAAAAGGACGCTTCTTTCATCACCGGTGCCCCGGTCATTTTCCTCTCTAGCCGTTACTTTTTTGCGGCGCGTAAACGCTGGCCGCCTGTGTGTCTCACTTTTTCGCCAGTTGGAAAGTTTCCGGCAGAAGACAGAGAGAAAGGGGGGGAGAGAGGGGGGAGCGGGGAGCGCAGCTTTATCCACGACGAAAAGTTCTCCAGCGGAAATTTATGGGGTCCAGTGTCGGGGCCGAAAATTTTCACTTTTCGTTGGGCCACGGCCGCGAACTTACGTACCCTACTGATGTCTGTACCCTGGCAGAAGTTAGGCGACCGCGAGAGACGCGGATAAGTTCAACGCCCATCGTTGGAATTGCGCGTGATCGTGCCTTTCATTCGTTCAACGGTCTGCTGAATTCCCATTCTAATCTTGTCAGGCTAGCACAATGAGAAACGTAACCCGACTGGAATTTTCCTGACGTTCCCGAGCCACTGGAAAATGAGCTGAAAGGACGGTACCGCGGGATGAGAAGTAAGACGAGGAGTAGGTATCATTTTGGAAGCTGATAGTTTTCAGTAATTATTCGAAATTTGAACGGGTAATATTTTTCAACGCGTATACGGATCAATATTTCAAAACATTTTCCCAGTCTCAATGGTGGATTAGCAAATTTATGGCGAATGCTCAGGATATGGGGGTCTAGAGACCTGTATGATGTCTAGAACAAGAATATGTCGTCGACTTTATCTAGTCAAAATCATTTTCAGTCGACAGAAAAATTAGTCTGCGCGTTAATCGTTATGCTAATAATAATCATGACTAAGTTTGCTCTACAATTGTCATCATCTCTATAAAATATATCTAGGATGCTAGGGTTCGTGAGTGCAAAGGAATACTTGGGCCTACCTGGCTAACGATAGATAAGAAACAGCAGCTTTGGGTTCAGATCGAATGGTCAGGGTGATATTTGGAGTGCATATGGAATGACAATTGACAGCGTGCAAGGATTCTATGGCCGGGATGTTTATGAATGATCGAAAAAGAAAGCCTGTGTGTGAAATAATAAAGCCTGCTAGGTTTAAATAAGGGTACAAGGGCTGTCTTGAGACAGTCGGTCAGTTGCAATCATAGATCAGTTGTTAATCTAGTCTTTCAGTTTATACTTTACTCCTAGTCTCATTTAGCTGGTAATAAATACATTGTTACGGATAGCACTTGGAACTTCTCTACTATAAGTTCGACCACTGGATTGCCGAATGATTCCTAATGTTCACGACGCAGAATTAGATTAACCCTAGCTGAACGCTGTCAACTCAACTCGCTGAACTTTGACGGAAGACGTCCCTTTTTATAGTAATCAGTCGCGATTGTTCTTTGCTCGAACATTCTAGTAGATGCTGGATCACTATTCCGGAAGTTAGAAGTCCCCTGAGTATTCTGGAAGGTGCTGGATTACTATTTTCCCGAAGTTATAGTTCATTCTTGTCACTAGGCCGAATACAGGGTGAATATGAGAAACTCGTAAGAATATATTTTAGAATAAAACAACATCTCTTATTCTTCATATTTGCCAATAAAACAGTATCTCTAAACGTATGTCTCATAAAGTGTTAGTATTTTTCGAGAATCATTAACGATCTTCGTTTCGTATGTAATAAGTGAAATATGGAATATAGTGGGCTGGAAATAATAGACTAAAATGGGTCAGACGAAATCCTACTGTCGCTCATCTGACAAATATTCGGCCGAAATGGCAGCAAGTTTATCGAAACTCGACCTCGTCGCAGAGGATGTTACTCATTAATTGTCCGCGCGGTGAAATCAGTTTTCCGCGTTACAAAGGGATGGCCGAAGGAACTCCGGGCCGAGGTTTTCCACTAAACCGTTCGTAATTTCTGTTTCATGCCGCGTTTGCAAATAAATCCTGAAGTACCGCGGAAGGAACGGCGGTAACTTTGTCAACTTTGATTAAGGG